TTGTGTGTGTGTGTGTGTGTATGTGTGTGTGTATGTGTGTGTATGTGTGTGTATGTGTGTGTGTATGTGTGTGTGTATATGTGTGTGTGTATGTGTGTGTGTGTGTATATGTGTGTGTATGTGTATGTGTGTGTATGTGTGTGTGTGTGTGTATATGTGTGTGTGTGTATATGTGTGTGTGTGTGTGTGTGTGTGTGTGTGTGTGTGTTCCCTCTCTGAAGCACCTTTCATCTCTTCCCCAGTGACTTCCAGACTCCTGGGCATTTCTCTGAACTCCAGATCCCTTTTCCCTACAGCCTACACCATTCCACTCGCAGACCTCAAGCCCGTCTTAGGTCTGTGAAACTTAAAGCAAGCTCCCGGCCTCTTCTGACCTCTGACCCCCTCAAACTCCTCCCTCATGTAGTCTTTCCCATTTCAGGGTAAGTTTCTTGTGCGGTATGAGAATCATCCTGGACTCTTCCCTGCCCCTCTTCCCACAATCTAGGAGCCAGACTTCTTTGACTGACCCTTCAGAAGCCCTTGGAGTTATCCGATGCCGCCATCTTTCCCTGGATGATTGCCCAAGTTTTCCTCCCAGGCTCCCTGACTCTGCCCTTCCAACTTCCCCCAGCTTGGCCCAGTCTCAGCAAAATAACCCGAACAGAGCAAGACAATCTGATTCTATCACCTCTCCTCAAAATTTTCCAATAGCTACCATCTCTCTGGGCAGACACCAAGGCTCAGGTGGGAGGAGCCTGTGCCACCTGCCACCCCCCCCCCAGCACAGATGAGATCTCATCTTCCTCCTGCTCAGAATGGCTCAAAGCCTTCTGCAGCCGTCCTCAGTGCAGCTGAGCACTGTGCTGGGTCTGCCAGGGAGTCTTGGGGGTTGCTCCTGTACTCTCCCACAAACGTTGCTTTCACAAAGAGGTCTCCCCCGACAACCATGTGTGCAGTGTGATCTTTCCTGGACATCCCTTCCTACCCCAACCTCCCCAGTTCTTATCCCTGCATTTACGTCTCGTTAAGCGTGGCATTGGTGCTTGGCTGTTTCGGGCTGAATTCCCAGCCTCAGCGGCCTCAAGATGTCAGAAGACAATCTTGTTCTCAGTTGTTTCAAGCTTCTGGACATTGCACAATACTTCCAGGACATCACTTCCGTACACAGTCTCTGACTGAGCATGATGGGCAGAGAGGTGACCATATGCCTTCGCTATTCCTGCTCGGGTTGAGCTACTTTGTTTCTACAACCAGCTCTTGTCCTCATGTGCATGGTTCATTTAATTTCAGACTGAATGAAAATTATAGATTTGAAATTTTTCTATAACCGACTGACTTGACCATGCATATAATTTTCCCTGAAGGAGAACTTATCACCTGTAATTATTATTTTTAGAGGTTTTAATAATTCCTTCTCTTAGGAAGCTATAATTCTGAGTGCTCAGTCCTGGTGTCTGATTCTCTTCGGAAGGAAGTTCCTAGTATGTATTCAGATTAAGGTGGGTATTGTGGGTGGGGAAAAAAACCTCGACTCTCGAGCTGGTTCTGTGACTTTACAGTTAGCCTTTGGGCTGTCCTTTGGAGCCACAGAAGTCTTTTACACAATGTCCATCTGAAGTCTGGTGGCAGAGCTGGGAACAACAACAGCAGCATTCGGCAGGTGGTCATGAGTAAAACCCTGTCACACCTGTCACACCTGTCACACCACACACACACACACACACACACACACACACACGACTTCATTCAAACCTGTGTGGTGGCCTCCTGACCAAGCCCAGCCAAGACCACATGAATCAGGGAGATGACAGCCACCAAGAAGCTGATTCTCAGCCAGGCGGATGGCGCATGTCTTTAATCCCAGCACCCAGGAGGCAGAGGTAGGCAGATCTCTGTGAGTTCGAGGCCAGCCAGGTCTACAGAGCAAGTTCCGGGACAGCCAGGGCTACACAGAGAAACCCTGTCTCGAAAAACGAAAAGAAGGAGCCTCAGCTGATCCCTAAGCCACCTCCCATCATCGGGGGAGTACCAGGGCACACACCCCTTCGTCTTAGACGGGCTCCAAGAAAACCACACCGAGCAGTTTCTGGGGGAGTTCTGTAGACACTGGCTCAGCCATTTGCTGGTTCCCTTAGATCACCGGCAAGCAGGAGAGTGGAAATTAGGCTCAAGAGGTACTCCCTGGCCCTTCAGGGCTTCATCAAGATGAGCTATGATTACCTCTACACTGTTCCAGTAGTTCTCAATTCCTTTGAGGAGTACGGATTTCTCTGCTAGGCAAACATTTCCATTAGGAAGCAGTAAGGGGGTGTGGAACGTGGCTTCCCAGCTGGAGCCACTGGTGGGCAGTGACAGCAAAGCAGAGAAGGAACCCCAATTTCCTTCCAGAGGCTGGTGCTTGCTGCTGGTTCCTTTGTGTTTCCTTGCCTCAGAAAATGTACGCAAAGGGGCCAGGGAGTATTGAGGTACTTTTAAAATACACCATAAACTCCTTGATACCTTTTTATGAAGAGGTAGGATCAACTATGTTCATAGCAGCATTATTTGTAATAGCCAGAACCTGGAAACAACCTAGATGCCCCTCAACTGAAGAATAAAGAAAATGTGGCACATATACACAATGGAGTACTACTCAGCAGAGAAAAACAATGACATCATGAGGTTTGCAGGCCAATGGATGGAACTAGAAAATATCATCCTGAATGAGGTAACCCAGACCCAGAAGGACAAACATGGTATGTACCCACTCATAAGTGGATACTAGATGTAAAGCAAAGCTCAATCAAACAACAACCCACAACTCCAGAGAAGCTAGCTAACAAGAAAGACCAAAGAGGAACTCATGGATCGCCCTTGGAAGGGGAAATAGGTGAGATCTCCATGAGTAAACTGGGGATGAGGGGTGAGCAACGGAGGGTAGGGGATGGGGGATGAGAACATAAGGGAATGGGATGGTCATCTGGAACAGGGATGGAGTGGGAAAGCAATGACAGAGATACCATGATGGAGGGAGACATCATGGGGATAGAGAGAAACTGGTGCTAGAGAAGTTCCCAGGAATCCCCAAGGATGACCCCAGCTTAGACTACTAGCAATAGTGGAGAGGGTGCCTGAACTAAACTGGCTTACCCCAGTGATCAGACTGGTGAATACCCTAAGTGTCATCACAGAGCTTTTCTCCAGTGACTGATGGAAACAGATGCAGAGATCCACAGCCAAACACTGGGTAGAGCTCCAAGAGGCCAGTCAGAGAGAGAGAAGAGGGATTCTATGAGCAAGTGCATCCGGATCATGATGGGGAAACCTGCAGAGCTGACCAAACCAAACTAGTGGGAACTCATGAAAGTTG